CCCAGGAAGGGGGGGTTGGGGGGGCCGAAAGCGCCCCATTGCACCCCAGCCTGGGGAAAATGAGTGAAACCCCGTCTAAAAAAAAAAAAAAAAAAAAAGCAGACCATGTGTCAATTGGACCTGCCAAGATGTTTATCTAAAAAAGATATAAAATAGTAAAATCAGGGCAAGAAACAGTTCTTCCTAGAGTGGGTAGGGCAGAAGACAGTAAACCCAATAGTGTGATAACTGGCGTTTATACAAAACTTGGAGGTATTATGTATTCTACCAGATACATATCATCATATCATAATTGTTTTGGACTTGTTTAACACAGACACTTATATCCAAGGCGCTTGTTTGTATTTGCATTTTTAACATGCACCAAAGAAACCCTAATACTTGAGAGTATGTTGCACACACAAAAAGTTGACAACATTTATGGAGAGTACAAATGCCATTACAGCTAGTGCTCGACTTACGACCACAATTGGTTCCAACAGACCAGCCGTAACACGATTTGGTCGTAAGTTGAGTAGGCTATATGCACGCGGAGATGGTAGTGCTGCTGGAAGCTGGTCTGCACTGTCGTACGCCCAGCTGGGCAACGTTTGCGCTGCCAGACGCGGTGCAGGCGTGGCTAGCGATTGTGGTCGTAAAGTTGAATGGTCGTAAGTTGCATAGGTCGTAAGTCAATCAATACCTGTAGTAGGATTACCAGGAATTCTGAGAGAAATTTCTTTATTTTTTTATACTTTAATTGTAGGATACATGTGCAGAAGGTGCAAGTTTGTTATATAGGTATACATAGGTGATGGTGGTTTGCTGCATCCATCAATCTGTCATCTACATTAGGTATTTCTCTGAATGCTATCCCTTCCATAGCTCCCCATCCCCCAATAAGCCCCAGTGTGTGATGTTCACCTCCTTTGGTACATGTGTTCTGATTGTTCAATTCCAACTTATGAGTGAGAACATGCGGTGTTTGGTTTTCTGTTCCTGTGTTAGTTTACTGAGAAGGATGGTTTCCAGCTTCACCCAGGTCCCTGCAAAGGACATAAACTCATCCTTTTTTATGGCTGCATAGTATTCCATGGTGTATATGTGCCATGTTTTCTTTATTCAGTCTATCATTGATGGGTTTTTGGGTTGGTTCCAAGTCTTTGCTATTGTGAACAGTGTCACAATAAACATACGTGTGCATTTATCTTTATAGTAGAATGATTCATAATCCTTGAATATATACCCAGTAATGGGATTGCTGGGTCAAATGGTATTTCCAGTTCTAAATCCTTGAGGAATCACCACACTGTCTTTCACAATGGTTGAACTAATTTACACTCCCACTACCAGTGTAAAAACATTCCTATTTCTCCAATCCTCTCCAGCATCTGTTGTTTCCTGACTTTTTAATGATCACTATTCTAATTGGCACGAGATGGTATCTCATTGTGGTTTTGATTTGCATTTTTCTAATGATCAGTGATGATGAGCTTTTTTTTCATAAGTTCGTTGTCCATAAAAATGTCTTCTTTTGAGAAGTGTCTGTTCGTATACTTCATCCATTTGTTGATGAGGTCGTTTTTTTCTTGTGTATTTGCTTAAGTTTCTTGTAGATTCGGGATATTAGCCATTTGTTAGATGGATAGATTGCAAAATTTTTCTCCCATTCTGTAGGTTGCTTGTTCACTCTGATGGTAGTTTCTTTTGTGGTACAGAAGCTCTTTAGTTTAATTTGATCCTATCTGTCAATTTTGGCTTTTGTTGCCATTGCTTTTTGTGTTTTAGTCATGATGTCTTTGCCCAATCCTATGTCCTGAATGGTATTGCCTAGGTTTTCTTCTCGGAGTTTTATGGTTTTAGGTCTTATATTTAAGTCTTTAATTCCATCTTGAGTTAATTTTTGTATAAGGTGTAAGGAAGGGATCCAGTTTCAGTTTTCTGCTATGGCTAGCCAGTTTTCCCAACATTATTTAATAGGGAATCCTTTCCCCATTGCTTGTTTTTGTCAGGTTTGTCAATAATAAGGTGGTTGTAGATGTGTGGTGTTATGTCTGAGGCCTCTGTTCTGTTCCATTGGTTTATATATCTGTTTTGGTACCAGTACCATGCTGTTTGGTTACTGTAACCTTGCAGTATAGTTTGAAGTCAGATAGCATGATGGCTCCAGCTTTGTTCTTTTTGTTTAGGATTATCTTGGCTATATGGGATCTTTTTTGTTTCCATATGAAACTTAAAGTAGTTTTTTTTTTTTTTTTTTTTTTTCTAATTCTGTGAAGAAGGCCAATGGTAGCTTGATGGGGATAGCATTGAATGTATAAATTAATTTGGGCAGTATGGCCATTTTCACGATATTGATTCTTCCTATCCATGAGCATGAAATGTTTTTCTTTTTTTTATTTGTTTTTGTTCTCTTTTATTTCCTTGAGCAGTGGTTTGTAGTTCTTCTTGAAGATGTCTTTCACATCCCTTGTAAGTTGCAATCCTAGGTATTTTATTCTCTTTTAGCAATTATGAATGGGAGCTCACTTATGATATGGCTCTCTGTTTATCTATTATTGGTGTATAGGAATGCTTGTGATTTTTGCACACTGATTTTGTATCCTGAGACTTTGCTAAAGTTGCTTATCAGCTCCATGGAGATTTGGGGCTGAGATGAAGGAGTTTTCTAAATATAGAATCATGTCATCTGCAAACATAGACAATTTGACTTCCTTTTTCCTATTCAAATACCCTCTATTTCTTTCCCTTACATGCTTGCCTGGCCAGAACTTCCAATACTATGTTGAATAGGAGTGGTGAGAGAGAGAGCATCCTTGTCGTCTGCCAGTTTTCATAGGGAATGCTTCCAGCTTTTGCCCATTCAGTATGATATTAGCTGTGGGTTTGTCATAAATAGCTCTTATTATTTAGAGATACATTCCATCGATACTTAGTTTATTGAGAGTTTTTAGCATGAAGGGGTGTTGAATTTTATCGAAGGCCTTTTCTGTGTCTATCGAGATAATCATGCAGGTTTTCATTGGTTCTGTTTATGTGATAGATTACATTTATTGATTTGTGTATGTTGAACCAGCCTTGCATCCCACGGATGAAGCTGACTTGATCATGGTGGATAAGCTTTTTGATGTGCTGCTGGATTCGGTTTGCCAGTATCTTACTGAGGATTTTTGCATTGAGGTTCATTATAGATATTGGCCTGAAATTTCCTTTTTTTGTTGTGCCTCTGCCAGGCTTTGATATCAGGATGATGCTGGCCTCATAAAATTAGTTAGGGAGGAGTCATTTTTTTATTGTTTAGAATAGTTTCAGAAAGAATGGGACCAGCTCTTCTTTGTATCTCTGGTAGAATTTGGCTGTGAATCTGTCTGGTGCTGGGCTTTTTTTTTTTTTTTTTTTTTTTTTGATTGGTAGGCTATTCATTACTGCCTCAATTTCAGAATAAGGGAGGAATTCATAGTCACTCTATTTCCTCCCTACATACTAAATGAATACAATCATTTTATTTATCTCAACCTGACCAACTCTAAAGAAACAATCCAATAAGAATTTGAGTTTTTTTTGTTT